GAGCCTGGCAGCGGCGGTCCGGCGGCTCCCTGCGGCCCTGTTCCAGCGCAGTCTTGAGAGCAACAGGTTAAGCCGGTGAGACGTCAGCGCGCCCCCTCCCTGTCCTCGGTTTTTCCCCCCTGCATCGCACCGGCCTCCCCTGCCTTCCTCCGCCCCCTCCTGCTGCCGATTCCCGGACGCTTCTAGCCGCGGTCTGTTGTCATTGTGACGTCACAAAGGGACGGGCCCGGGTGGAACCTCTTCCTCCTCCGTGACGTCAAAAGTCGGGTGGGAGGTTCCAGCGAGATGGGGCTGCGGGTGACGGGGGCCTCCGGCCGAGGTGGAGCGGGCCTGCCACTCCGGAGGAGGACGAGGAGGAGGGTGTGCTCGGCCTCTGCCTTCCGCCTCGAACGCAGCACTGCCCTCCAGGTGAGCGCTAGGAGCCTGTCACCCTCAAACTAGTGCCCCCGCCTACCTGTGATTCTGACCCATTGAAGAGGTGGAGAGCAGGGAGATGGCTCCTTTCTGTCTGTCAGCAGATCTGCTGATGGTGTGGCATTACATACAACTGTGGTAGTTGGGTCTGCTCATTAATGCTTTAAATAAGCAAGGAAACTTAATTCAGGGAAAGCTTTGCTACATTTGTAGGAGGACCATGTTGTGGATTCAGCCACCTTGTCATATTTGGCGTGTCTTCTCTGAAGGTGGTGGGATGCCTTTCTGGGTGATGCTGCACAGCAGCAACTGTTGCTCTTCCTGGTAGTCTTGCAATACCGTTGGGGGAGCCTCTGCTGTGCCAGCTCTATGCCTGTTGAGTATTTTTTAGGGGGCCAGGTGAGGGAAGACTTGTCATTGATACTGTGTGCTTGGAAGAGCAACTGGACTCTTAAGTCTTAAGATGTTCTGGGTTTAGTTCTTCAGAGCCAGAGGAGAAGAGGCTCCCAATCTGAGTATTTCCTTTTCTGTAAAATGGAGAAAGTAATACCTGCCTTTTTCACTTTACTTTCTCGGAGATTATGTGAGATGATGTGCATGAAAGATATAAAACAGTATGCTCTTTCTTTGTAAGGTGGCATTATTACTCAAGCTGGTGGAAGGCAGCACATTTCCTACAATTGGTCTCAAAAACCTTAGATGCCTGCCGTGTTGCCATTTAGTTTATTGCCTTAGCAGAGCAGAGTTTGGGGGTGGGATTGTAGGTGGCAGGCTTTGGGAGAAATGATTGTTATAATTCATATTAAGTGACATCCTTGAGAAACTCATAGATTGCAGGGTAACCCTCTCTTAATTGTGCTGGGGACAACTTCCACTACAATACCTTCGATAACCAAAAACATTTGCCTTTCAAAGCCCCAGTCCTCTTGGACAATAAAAACAGTTGCAAGTTTTGCTCTATAGGTATTTTCTGCCCATCTATAATAATAAAAGTATAATTAGACCAGACGACCTTCTGGACAAAGCCGGGGCTGCGAGGGTCCCGGGTGGCAGAGGGAAGCCCGGGTCCCGGGTGCTAGAGGGAAGCTGGTGCCGGCAGCCGGGGGAAGGAAGGCCTACTCTTGCATGAATTTCGTGGATCGGGCCTCTAGTCTCTATATATAAAACCCTAATATTCAAATAGACCGAACGGCTGAACAACCTAACAACTGAACAACCGGTCGCTATGACGTGTGCTGACCACCTGGGGTCGCGTGGAACATGGCGGGCATCGACAGCAGGTGGCGGAACACAGAACATGATGGGTGTCAGCCGAGGCAGGATGGTGGAGCAGGGAGTGGGGACACCAGACCAAGGCAGGGTGCCGGTCGCTGTCATCAGGGTGAGCCTCTGGTGGTTACTGAAAATTCTTTGCTCCTGTCCACCGTAGTCCCCCTTGGCGCTTGCACCTGCTGCCGGATGCCAGCCCCGCTTGCACCTGCTGCTGGCGCCCATCGCTGGCCTCAATCACTCGGTGCCGTCAGCGGGTGCGAGTGGCAGCTGCTGGCCCCGATTGTCCCTGAGGGATTCTCCACATCCCCCTGCTCCTGAGGGGTGATTGGGACAGCAGCCGCCGCTCACACCCGCTGACAGCATCGGCCCCCCCTCACACCCACTGCTGGCACTGGCCCCAATTGCTGCGCACCATCAGTGGGTGGGAGCAGGGCTGGTGCTCTCAGTGCGTGGGAGCAATGGCAGTGGGAGCGGGGCTGCCCGCAGACAGGGGTCTGGGGTGGGAGGGGCTGGGCGAGGGTGTGGAGGATGGGCTGAGACCCGCTCCTGTGCCCACTGCAGCCTGGTGGCCCACAGTTCCTTTCAAGGTGCACGATTTTGTGCACTGGGCCCCTAGTAATACATATAATAATCAGACTTCAAAACCATTTAATTGGTGATTCTTTGTAGCAGGTATAAGTTTGAAATGAAAGTCTCTGCCACATGAGATATGATTCATGCAGTTAGCACAAAAACAAATTACCAGTTTGATTTCCAGGACTGCTCAAGCAGAATTTGTACCACTAGGCCATAAGTTCTAAGTATCTAATTTTCTGATTTAAAAGTGCAGTATGACTTAAAAAACAGGGGAATGTTTGTTATAAGACTCAATAGCAAGCCCTGACCGGTTTGACTCAGTGGATAGAGCGTCAGCCTGAGGACTGAAGGGTCCCAGGTTCGATTCTGGTCAAGGGCATGAACCTTGGTTGTGAGCACATCCCCAATAGGGAGTGTGCAGGAAGCAGCTGACTCGATGTTTCTCTCTCATCGATGTTTCTAACTCTATCCCTCTCCTTCTCCCTTCCTCTCTGTAAAAAATCAATAAAATACATTAAAAAAAAGACTCAATAGCAGGATTTACTATAATTACAATTACATAAAATTATAAAGAAAAAGGAAAGAAATACACCAAAATATAATGGTAGGATTTATGAGCCTTTCCTCCCCCCACCTTGTTTTACACCCAGTCAGTTTTTTACAGTTCTGGGGGCCAAAAACTTGTACACATTATTTAATTGCTGTGTTTTTCTTTTCATGGGCTGTTCACATGATTTTCTCTTTGTCACATAAGTCTAGGGCAGAGGAACTTAGCAGCTATGATTAAGGAAGGAATACTGTAAAGATAAGAGTCCAAAGTGTGTCTCTGCAATTTGAAAGAA